AAAAGTCGTTATTGATATCGAGCAAAAATGGTTTGCTTTATTATCATTTTCGTAATGAACCCTTACGTTTAAATATGTCCGAATAAACGATTACAAAATGCAAGAATTCGGTAGTTTACCGTTGAAGGGAGTAAGGAGGGTCTTATGTCGGTCATTTTGTATGCATTCCTTCCACGCAGAGAAACGCGGTCACTTGTTACACTGGTATCTTTTGGCGTTTCGTTGAAGATAAAATAACACGACTCTGAAGCAATATCACGAATCAGAGGATGTTACATGTAGTATATTTCACGTACTATAGAAAATAATAGTATACAACCTTACGATTAAGGTTGATAGGTTCCATACTAATAAGTTGAAATGGTTAATAGCGAAACGTAGATGCAAGCATTCGTTTCTTCTTATTATAGTTTGTCAAAGACAGAAAACATTTATTTGGAAATTTACACACTTTTATCTTTTATAAATTTTTGTTTTAAATAATGCTTAAAAATTTGTTAGAACAATTGTTTCGTCGTTGATATGTCAATCTTAATAATGTTTTTTTTTTTTATTATTAATGTTTTTTTATTAAAATCAAAACTTGCGAAATATTGAGTTGTCTCGAAGAAAGTTTCCATGTTCGATTTTCGTTTGGTAGGTAAAACGGAGGTCAAACATTCATAGATTTCCTATGTTTCCTTTATTTTATTCGCCTGGAGATTGCAGGTAACGATTACGATGTAGTATTACGCGTGTAGAAATCGAGAAATCTCCGGCAAAGTTGTTAACTCATCGAACCCATGTCACGACTCGGAGCCATCATATTCCCTTCAATTTTCTTTCACATCTTCGATGTAACCAAAGAACAGTAAATATGTCAAAGGTAATTGTTACGATCCGACTGTATCATTGTTTGTGTTACTAGTTCAGACAAACAAAAGAAATGTTCTTTTTCCCATGGAAGAATAATTGCACAATTATTTACAAACCACTGATGTAAAAGTAAGCCAATGTCGCTTAAACGTTTTTTTTTTTTTTTCGTCACAGGCCTGTTTGTCTTGATCGTTACAATCCTTATTATCGCGCAGGATATATCTTTATTATTGACGCGAATCCATTGAAAAGGATCGGATTATACACGTAAGAATTTCTACGAAAAATAAGACATTTAAGATTCGAGAGATTCGAACCCACGATCCTCGGATCCACAGTCGACCGCTTTTAACCACGTTTAACAAATTGACAAACACAAGTCTTCCTCGCATTTTTCATTTGAAACCGTCGAGCACTCCTTCTTTCGCAGTCGGTATTATCAGTAGAAAAAAAAAACAATGGAATCGTTCTACATTTTTGATAGACGTAGAAAAAAATTCCTAAAGTATGCCTAATTTTTCGGTGATCACACCAGAAATAATCCTTTAAGAAAGGCGATTTAATCCGAAGACTAAGTATGCATGAAAGATGAAAATTATACCTTCACTGATTCTCGTATGAGTACGTTTGGAGTGTTTAGAGAAAATTATCTTTCGATTTTGAACATCGTAACGATATTTTGCTTGCTAAAAAATATATTTTCACTTTTCAATTATCTTTTGGTTCGTTGCTCCGTATTTTCTGCGTTTAGATTTCACTATTGTACCGGAGTGATACAGAGAATTTCGATGCGTTTTGTACATTTTTCGTTGAATTGGATATTTTTAATAGGTCAAGGAACAGTTAGGCCTTCGGTTAAACGTTTCCCATGGTTCGAAGCAGTCCGATTCGTTCGATTTGTTTTGTTCTAGACCATAACTATAAAATATCTCACAATCGGCTTCCACGAATCGCTCGAAGCCAGAACTGGAGTCTTTGACTCTAGAGTATCCAGTAAGTCCAGTTTGAGTAAGCATCCTGACTTTTCTGCCTTCAAGTGGATTGACCTCCACCGTCAGGATTCGTGATAGGAATAAATTCCCGGCGAAGCCTGCGCTACGTATTCCGGGCTGAAGAGGCACACCAGATCGTTCCTTTCAATTTTGGTGACCGTCTTGCCATAGTCGAACTGGAATGGAATGTGAACAGTTTAACGTGACCCTGTCTAAACCGAGCTTTTTGTTCTCTACGAAGAAACACTGCCGCAACAGTTCTTTAACGTCTTTTCCACGACCGAAGCATACGAAATGGAAAATTAAAATTTGAATTTCTAATCGTCTCAATTCTCCAGCGACGTTACGAAGCGTCTGTTCAGTCATCGTTCTGAAGAATCCGAAGAAAATGTGATCCTTTATAACGTGTATCGAAGAATTATTTTTGAACACATTGCTCATCGATAGTGCACCAATTTCAAGTCGCAAAACAACGAAATCAAATTTTTATCAAATTTCGTTCATATTAATATCGCTTTCTATTTAATACATTTTTTTCTATTCTAATTCATTGATATCTGAGGCTCTGTATATTTTTTCAGTTCGATATCGCGGTGAAACGGGAAAAAACCAATGCCAAAACATGAAATTAAGTACAATCGATACTTTCGATTAAATTTCGTACAACTTTCTTCCCAGGTTTTAA